GTACTTGTACGTATGCTTATACTTATACTTGTATGTGTACTTGTACTTATACTTGTACGTGTACATGTATTTTTGCTTGTGCTTGTGTAAGTATTCCGACATTCGAATACGTTCATATTCACAGGTCTCGTTCGTGTACACAGGCTGTGCCGCATAAGCGCACACTTGCACCTCACTCTCTCACTCCGCCGCCACATCAGCTTACGCTATATTTGGTCCGTTGTACGGAGTCGAGATGAAGATGTCCGCGCATGACCTGGCTGTGGCAGGGACTTACAGCTTCCTGCTTACGATTGTGAACATTATCTGCATCTACTTGATGGGTGAGTATGTTTGTATGTCTGCATCTACTTGATGAGTGAGTATGTTTGTTTGTCTGTTTCTACTTGATGGTTGAGTATGTTTGTGTGTTTCTAGTCACGCTTATGATACCACACGTGAACAGCTTTGTGTGCGTTAAGAAGGGTCTGTGTAGCCAGTGTGAACTCTGTGTGTTCGGAGAAGGACCTGTGTTGTGTTGAGGGCAGATAACAAGCCAACCCTTTATGTAGTAACAAGGGGCTAACGGCTCATTGTAAAGAATCCTCACCGAGCGTACAAGCAAGATATAACTTTTAGAGTATACCATGTGCGTCACGCTATACTTTATACCCACCGACCTTCTGACCACCTCACCATTGCCTGCCTACCACAGGTCTGCTGATGTTCAAGATCAAGGAGGTGGCGCCCATCCCCGGCAAGACAGACTTCTGGAAATCAGCCGTACACGCGCAACGACTACACCCCCGCGGCAAGGGCTATGGCAACCATGGGCTGCCCATGGATATACGCAGTAGCGCAGAGTTGGATGTGGAAGCACAGAGCCAAGGCACATACCACACACAGTACCAGAGCACCCTACGCAACAACAACACGTACCAGGGTGCTGTGCCGGATGAGGTCTATGGCACTGGCTTTGGGGCGCTGATGGCGTACAGACCACCGGTGCACGAGCAGTCACACCTGAACCAACTCAACAACCAGTTCACACTAACCCAACGCACACTCAACGCACTCAACAACTCAACCATGCAAAGGGGGGGGCACCAGGCATAGGAAACCACCTGCTCAAGGAGACGGCTGAAGAACACCAGCACCCCAGCGTGCAGCATGTGTGGAAGGCCAACCATAGTATCGTGTGAAGGGGGTGGGGGGGGGTTGCTTAGCAACGGGTGAGTTAGTTAGTTGTGGGGCAAGAAAGCAAAAATATAATACTAACCGTGTGGGGTATTAGAACAATCTGGACAGATGGATAACTCATCACCACGCCGATCACAGACAACATAGACCCCATGGCCTTATTTGGGACGTGCTAGGATCACAACTCTAGCGCTGTAAGACTACGGAATGGTTCAGGTGCAGCAAATGGTCCTGAATCACAGTACGAAACGGTTTAGGTGCAGTAAATGGCCCTACGACTACCAAACCGTTCAGGTGCAGTGAATGGCCCTACAGCACACTACGGAATGGTTCGGGTACAGTAAATGGCCCTAAATCACACTACGGAATAGTTTAGGTGCAGTAGATGGCCCTAAATCACACTACGGAAGGGTTTAGGTGCAGTAGAAGGCCCTAAATCACAGTACGGAATGGCTCGGGTGCAATAAATGGCCCTAAATCACAGTATGGAATGGTTCAGGTGCTGTAAATGGCCCTAAATCACAGTACGGGTTGGGTCAGAGATATCTGTCGCAGACATTGTGCCGGTGAGATTCTATACCCAGGAATATGCCCTGGCAACTGAATGGGTCACACACATAGATACGCACGGCATCAATTGGCCCAAGACTTTGTCCCAATTCCTGCACCCGTCCCTGTTCTTCCGGGTGCTTTGTGAGCGGAGGACTTGCCCCAATTCGCGACAGTACATGTGCCGTGAGAACTAGTGATCGATCGAGGTTTTATCACGATTTGTCAGCCAGCGGTTTACCTCAGTATCTGTTTGGTGCTTGTTAGGGGAGGTGCTGTTTCTTTGAGAAATAGGACCGGTCCTCCTGGCGCTGCACCTGGGACACCGACACCGTGTCAAAAGGCTAAACAACGCTGACCCCACTCAGTGGGACCCCATCGCACTATGTGGATGAGAGCCGCCGACACAGCCATGCGCCGAGCTGAGTGTTGGGGCTATTGTGTGTGAGAGGCAAGCGACGACTTAGAGGCATCCTTTTAGGCCTGTTCTGTCAAGTGCGTTGTAGGTAGGTTTAATGGCTGTGGGGCATAGAGAGACCCCATGCTGTAGCAACGGACATCACAAGAACAAGGTCTAAACAACACACAACATAACACGTACAAGCGGTCAGACTACTCTGTCTGAAGCACACACAACATGCACAGGCGATAAGACTACTCTGCCGAATAAGGGAGTCGCCTGGTGACAATGCGTACATTTTACTTATGCGAATAGTACCGAGTTGTAGGAATAGTACAAACAGAAACAGAGCTGTAAGAATAGTACAAACAATAAACACTTAAATGGAGGAAAGCTCTGACAATACAACCCAATGGACTGCGATATAGAGACCCTCTCCCGACGTCAGAAGTACATCGCTCGGAGAAGCCGTGTTGTGGTAGAATCGTCAGATGTGGAGGATGCGACAACAATGCCACGCGCACTATTCCGATGACTCAAAACACTACTCGACGTACGTTGGAAGCTTTTATCACGGTGCGCGTTCTGGTAGTGGAGTGAGGAGTGTATGGTATCCAACACGTGGACTGTCCCAGTATAAAGTACAGTATGATTGGCGGAGTTCGCATGCGTGACGATGTCCATTTCGGTTGCATGCAGGACTAAGATAAGTCAAAACCATACGAGGCACAGCTATTAAGTAGGTAAGGAGCTCTACTTTAACAAAGCGGCATGGGCAACCAGTATTCCGGTGGTTGGGAGATGCACAAACCGCACAGTACATTTGCAATCAGTTGAAACAACAGGCTGTCGCCTTGTGGACATATGAATGGCTGTGGTAGCAACATAATCTGCATAGATGTTGGTTAAACGTTTTAAAGATAAGCGCAAAGACTAATATAAGATTAACTTATAAAAGAAGGATATGTGACTCATATCTCGGAATAAGGTTAAGGTATACTTCGCGCATAACAAAAGGGCCATCATAATCCGAACTATTTTCACAGTACCCAAGAACAAGACTACTTCCATCGATGAGTTGGTCCTTGTCGATGAGTAAAGTGAATATCGTTATCGATTTACGTGTCTGAAGGTAATCAAACATTATGTATATATATATATATATATATATAT